TTAGCGTCCAAAACTCGATTGCGTGACCGCCGTGTTGCTCGACCAAGTGCCAATCATCGCGCGCTCTTTAAATACAATCGATTGTACGGGAAACCCACTTCAAGGTGCAACACATTCTATTCTCGCGCGACCACAAATGCCCCCCCGGTGCTTTAGCGGCGTCCACGAGGGTCCATGTGCCATCGCAGACTGGGGTCGCTGTGAGTACGGCTGGCTGCGCCTCGCACCCGTGTACCTCTACCTCCTCGTGTGGATCGTGCTGGGACTGTACATGCTTTCGCGCAACGGCCCTCCCCACGGTCTCTTTCGAAGCGATGCGACTACGGTGCATGACCACGTCGCGCAAGGTGCGTTCGATACAAACAGGCTTGTATGAACCGTAGCGTAGGCATCGCGATCGCTTCGTCGCAGCGCAAGTACCGGTCGTTGCGGCAGCAGCGATTTCAGCGTGCGGTGCGACTATTAGCCATGTGGGCCGAGCACCCCCAGTTTACCCTCATGCCGTTGGGTCTCGCGTTTCGCATCACAGGCTCCGTGTTCCGCTTGAAATACGTCTTGTTTGCCTTTAGCTTGACGCGCGAGGTGCTTCTACTTGAATCATAAAGTTACCGGCAAAAAACTCATATTTCTCCTAGGCGGCCGATGCGCTGCTAGCTTTTTCCTGTGGTGGGCTCTTGCTTCTCTTGTATAGTGTCAAGCAATGTACAATACCTTCAACGAACAAGTAAGGAGCGAAGCAATTGCATATCCGTAGGCAACACCGTCCGACGGCGGTTGGTGCAGCCTCTCGCCTTCGACTTGTTTTACATCCCGATGGTCGCGACCTTTCTTCGGCTCGGGACGTGCCCAATGGGCATCGAACACGTTGCGTTGCCAGGTAGCGTCATCTGCGACTGCGTCGACAGCTTTGGCTACTTTTGGGTTGCGATGGATGCAATTGTACTAACTCTAACAGACAATACTGAATGTGTAGGCCCTCGGACTGATCTCGTTCGTCTTGCATTATTGTGGCGCGCTGCACCACAAGATGAACGTCGAGCCACTCGCAACGACTGTGGACTTTCGCTTTCAGCCGAGCTACCAGTTTTTCATCGTCATGGCCCGGACACGTACGTACCTTTGTCCTTCTATGGTACATCCCGCAGACGTGATTGCGTAGTCTGCCCGATCGTGTCGATTCTGGCCAGCAACGCCGACGCCAGCCGCAACGAGACCATCGGCCTCCTAACCGGCCTTCTACTTGTCTGGAGCTTCCTCCTCGAGTACTCGTACCGCACCCAACCGGTACTTTGATCCGACTTTTGTTGATTTTCCCAAGACAGTATTGACGTCGATGTACTAGTGCATTGGTAGCGGAAGCAGTCCCAACAATATTCGCGTGCTCGCCTTCTCGAGCGCCATCTACACAACGCTCGCGTCCATTGGTGTCTTGACGACCGACGCGAGTCCCTCGACGCTGCTCTGGACGCTCGTGCCGCTGCCACTCGTCGGTGTCGCTGCATGGAAGGTCAACGACCGCCGCGCGCGCTTGTTTCACATTCCCAACGTCTCGATTGTCGAGCTGTTGAGGGATGAATCACCAACAATCCAGTTGGTCGGGGCCGTCGCAGCACTGTACGTCAACCCGAACCGCCTCGTACAATCGGACCACGAGAAGCTCTTGGTGGAGCTACGTCGACTGGCGCATGGCCCGATGCACACTCCGCTTTGTCGTTTGTATGCGCTGCGAACACTGTGGTTTAGTCACGTTGAGGTATACGCGCTCATAGCTCCTTCCACGCCTGGTTTTGAAGTTGATGTGTAGATCTTTGTTGCCCGGAAGCCGCTACTTGCGATCGGTGAGGTACGAACGGCTATTCTGCAAAACTATTGGCTCAAGGACCGAGCCAATGGCGACCGACCGCCCCGTCAGCACAATTTGCGACCGCGATCTATTAAGCTTTCAAGTCAAATCCTCAACGTGGTCGTCGAACGACGAGTGGGTCGACGTCGGACGTCATTCTCGATGCTTTTAGCTAATCGGGTACGCAGCAACTGCAATGGAGCCTCGCATCGGACCACGGGTCCGTCGGCCGATCACATTGCACTCCAGTCGCCAGCGACGACCACTAAATGCAGCGTCGTCAACATTCGAGGCGCACCGTGGATCTCTTACATTCAACCAACCGACGACGTCGTCGCGACAGCCAACGACTTCTTTCGCTTGGCGCTCGACATTTGGGCGCAAAGCGCTGCGCATCAAGACCGCGTCGCCATGCGTGAATGTGCGCTCTTTCTACTCCAGTGGTATCGCACCGGCCACCTGAACCTCCAGCCCGTTGTCTACCTTCAGATCTTATCCGCGCTCTGCATGGTCGGAACCACCAAGCACATCATCGATGCCACCCACAGCTTGTACAACGCGACGCTCGACAAGGTCACACCCGTGAATCTCTGGCTCGAGCACCCCGGGTGCATCGACCACTTTGCCTTTGCACTCAAAGTGCAAAGTCGATCGACGGTGACCAAGTGTGCCTCGATAATGGCGCTGATCGTGGAGAGTGCGAAGTCGACACGGGCCCCGCCGCGACGCTGGACGCCAGCGGCGATCGAGAGCGTCGAGGTGGCGTTGTCGGCATGGACGCACGTATACCGCATCAGCGACTGCCTCGAGCGCGTGTACACGTACCTCTTTGAGATCCACCCGACAAAAGCGCGGCTGGATGCCGCTCCGTTGAAGCAAGTGTTGCGAAGCTGCCAAACCGTCTCGACGCTCACTTCTACATCAAGGCGCGAGGCGGTGGCTCCAATAGTGGTGCCGCCACAGCTCATTCGGTCGGCGTCTTTTCGTCGGCTTTCGGCAGTGAGTCCGGTGCCCGAGCTACCGGCGCTGTGCAAAAGAACGAGCGAATTTGTGCGCAGCCCGACGGTGGGGCGACGACGGAGCAGTGTCACCGAGCAATTGGCGTCGATAGGGTTGACATCGCCAAGCATCAACATGTCCGGGGGGTTGTCCACGTATCAACCTCGACGGTCGTCGCTGCAGCCACCCGGTGCGACGCCGGCCGTGGTCAAGCTAGAGGTTCTCGCGGCCGTCGACCAACGGCGGTCGCAGCGCGGACAATTCATCGAGATCCTCGACCGCGCCTACGACTTGCACGCGGCGACGCGACTGCATTGCATCAGGTTTGGCTTTGCCGAGGCAATCCAAAGCGCTATTGAGTTGTATTACTCGTCGCTCGAGTGTGCCATCCACGACTACGTCGAAACGGCGCTCGATCCGGCCGTCTACGAGTTTTTTCTACCCCACTTGTCAGCGTATGTACCGCCGACGCCGACGCTCCGGCGCCGATCGTGGTGGCGACAGTAGCCGTCATCCATCCCATTTGCATAGCGTAGAATTGGGTGGGTTTTCGTTAAAAAGAAATGAAGTGTAAAATCCACAGAAGATGCTAGTGACGGCTATGCTACAAACGCGTCACGGGGCTTAGACCGCGGACACCATCATGTCGTCCTTTCCTATTGCACTCGCAACCGCGCTTGGTGTCTCACCGTCCTAACAAATAGAATATCGCTTCGTTTCCCTCTTCGCGAATCCTCTGTACCGCGCTGCATACATGCGGGTTGGCGCCTGCAGCAAGCAGGCGCGCTGCGCATGTCGGCTGGCTATGGTACATGCACACATGCAGCGCCGTGTATCCGTCCTTGTCTTGGAGGTTGATCGATAGAGATGGCGCCGCCAAGAGGTCATCGACAATGTCCAAGAGCTCATAGTGGCAAGCAATGTGCAGCGCCGACTGACCACACTACATGGCCCACTCGTCAGGCCCTCTCGATCAAGGAGGAATAGAATACGTAGTCGGTCGCGTTGACGTCAATCTGCGGCTGGCGCAGAAGCGCCTGGACGATATCGCGTTGGTTGTGCAAGCATGCTTGGTGCAGCAGCGTGTAGCCCGTCTATAGAGCACAAATGCGTACGCTGTATGAACGCAGGCGCCGGTACCTTGGGCTCGATCGCCGCGTTGTAGTCGAGATCGGTGGGCATCGCCGTTGACACTGCGTCCCAGTCGCCCGCCAACGCTGCTACGGCCACGGCTGCCATCGGGGACAAGAAAATGAAAATGGCGAGTCGCAAATGTGCTGGACATTTTGCACGGGATTGTCGATCAGACCAATCACCGTCGCGCATTTTATATTTGGCACATGCCACATTGAATATACCATCAAGCATCGCAGAACTATCATCGCCGCCGTCGGATCCTCGGTTGCAATTGGAGCTTCAACGAGAACGAGAAGCCTCTGATGTCCAGTGGTAATAACGGTGCTATGAATCCCTCCCAGCCTCAACATATGCGCAATCTTGTGGGCGCGAGGGTCATGATGCCTTTTTGGCTCATGATCCACCAACTTGGTGGTGCTATGCATGATCTACATGGAGACTAGGGCATACGTCGCCGTGAGACTCGAATTCGCAAGGGTTGTGGATCTCGATTGAGCGATATCGCCATCGAGCCAAGCCAGCTTCGGGTCCAGCTTGCGCTTAATCTCGGCAAATCAGTGCCTCTTCAATATATTTGTTCCGGTAGACTTGGTTTTTGTATGCAATATAATATGAATTCAAATATATGTGATTGGTTATTTTTCATCTGTTTTCGGCCAATCCCTTTGGACAGCGCGGAGCACGATGGTCGATCAGCGGCCTTTTGGCGACCCGATGGCACTCGGAAATGATAACGCCCATACTTTGCCAAGCGACAAAGCAGTCCTTGGAGAGTACGAAATGCATCGTAGCATCGGCGTCCGATGCATACAGCCAGAGAAATCTACCAAAACGTTAGTTGTGGCATGTACCACAGCTAACCACATTTAGTCCATTTTACACCACCAGCCACACTGCTCCATGCAGACTGCCGCGGTTAACTTCACACAAGCGATTGTAATAGCAATTATAGCATATCTAAAAAGTCAGCATCGTCCTCGCTATGATGCAGTACGGAAGCTGGGGAAGTGGATTGGGCAGTAGCTAGTGGCGTGGTGCCCTTGGGAGCAGCAGCGATTCCTTCGTCTTCTTCTTCCTTTAGTAGCTGGTCGGCCGAGTAAAATTGGCTGGCACTGTGAGGAAGCGCAGTGGCATACGCTTGGCTGCCCATGTCGGCAACCGACGTCGGTGCGTCGTGGTCCGAGCTGTCGTCTGCCACGCACCATGAGACCTCGACGAATCTGGAGAAACCTACGCACCTGGGGAGCCGGCGCTGGCCTCCGAGTTTTCATTGTCGCTGGTGCTCGACTCGACGACCGCTCGCTTGGGCTTGGTCGATCGTCGTGGCATCGGTGTTTTCCGCCGGCGCTTGGGCGATCTGCGTGGGTACGTGAGTGCATCGGCACCGTCGACTCGAGAACGTACGGCGACGGCTCTGGCGCCAGCGCCAATCGGTCCTGGAGCTGTACAATCATGTCCTTCTTGGCGTTGACAAGCAACAGACACTGCTGCACCAAGCGCGACTCGCCGTCGACCTTGGCCTGAATCGCAGCGTCCAAGACCACGTCCTTCTCCGCTACAAGCGCTTCGAGGGCGGCAATGCGCGCCTGTGCCGCAGCAAGCGACGCCGCCTACGCCGCTTACATGTAAGAAGCAGCATGTGGTGTAAAACCCCCATACCGTTGCCATGTACGCACTGTGCCAACGCTTGGCCACGGAATGGACGTGCGCCGCCGGCGCGATCGCGGCCGTGAGCGTCAGCGCGTCGAAGCGGAGGTGCATGTCTGCATGGGCCTCTTCCAGAACCAGCGCAATCGATGCAGGCGCAACGGTGCCAGTGATGCGCAAGCCGCCAGCGCCGACGTGGAAGGCCTCGTGCAGCTGTGCAATGTACTCGTCGCCCGCGCACGTGAGCGACCGGGGCTTCTCGGCGGCGGCTCGGCGAACCTCGTACTGCACTGCATCGGTCCAGACGATGATGTCGACGGCGACGCCGGGCGTCAAGAAGCTGTCGGCGATGGCGTCCGCGCCGTCCAGCACCAGCTCGCGCATCGCGTTCAAATCGAATTTCCATGTGTCGAAGCCAAGAATTCGTGACTAGAAACACGCATGTTTACAGCGTGTCGATACAACCGTTGCAACGCCGTTTCCGCTTTCCATACAAACACAAGGTTTGGCTTCTTAGGTAGCGTTGTTTTAGATTATGAGAATAGAGCTCGGCTGCCAGCAACCCCTCGCACAACCATGACGTGGCGCCTTCGTGGACACACGCCCTCAGTTCGCTTTGCACAGCGCAACCTTGACCGCACGTGACAAAATATAACGTACTTGGTTTCTCATACAGGCACTGGAATGCAGTGTCGGCTCCGAAGAGCCACGACGTGGCCCACATTTGCCGTGGACGTCATTTCCCACAACTCAATGTCGTCGCTGTCAAGGACATGTGCGCAGCGATGTATGGACTTGTGTCATCGTCAAGTCCTTTGTTCTTGACGAACGAGCACCCAATACTGGGGCCCGTCGGAAGCAGTGACGGACGCCTGTCGTACGAGTAGTATCCAAAATCTCGACGCACGAACATGGGCACGACCGCACACAATGGGCTCACTCGTCGATTTGAATCATGCTGCGAACGTTCCGTGCAAAGCCGACGCTGAGCGCCAACCAAGTGGGGGACTACGAAGAGAAGGTGGCGCAATGGTTTGAGCTGTTCCTCGACCTCGTCTTTGTCGGCGTCTGCGCAAGCGTTGCGCACCACTTGGAAGCGCATGTGACGTGGCACGGCGTGTGCGATTTCATCTTTCTCTTGACGCAATATACCGCGGGCTGGCTCCTCTACACCAACTTTGTCTCGCGCTTCAACGAGACGTCGCTCGTGCACTGCGTCTTTCTCTTTGTCTTGCTCTGTGGCTTTGGCGGCATGGTCCTCGGCGGGTCGCCCAACCAAGCCTTTACGACCGGCCTCCTCCTCGTGCGCCTCGGCGTCTTGTGCATGAACGCCAACATGTACCTTCGACTCCCGGCGTCGCGGCAGCAGGTGTGGCTCGACTTGGTGCTGCTACTGTGCTCGATCGGCATCCTTGGCGTCGGCTTGACAGCGTCCACAACCGAGTTGTATTGGTGCTATGGCGCCGTGCTTTTTCTCGAAATCCCCGTCCGAGGCATTTGGATGATCAACCAATGGCTCTTTGCCACCAGCGTGCATGTCTACATCAATATCGACCACGCCAATGAGCGCGCGAGCAACCTCGTCCTTGTGACGCTGGGCGAAGCCGTGCTAGCCGCGATTCAAAACAACGACGACGCCGATCGCGTCACGCCGCGCTTCTACCTCTGCATGCTGCTCTCGTTGGTCGTAAGCTTTGGCCTTGCCCTTTTTTACCACACGGTGCAGCCGCCGCGGCCCTTCCACGCGCTCAAGCGGTCGGCGACGTTTGCCTTTGGGTTCTACATGGTCCATTTTGCGCTCTGGCCGTCGCTCGTCGCGCTTGGGGTGGGCACGGCGGTCGTCAAGCGCGCCGTCTTGGCGCACGCGCGCCTCGACCGCGCCGAGATCTATTTACTCTTTGGATCGCTCAGTGCGAGTATGCTCTGTATTTTGCTTTTGCGGCTGCTGCATTACGGCGGTCGCCAGCCAACTTCATGGGATGCGCCCCGCGTCCGAGCACTGAAACAACTGTGGTGGGCCATCATAGCTTTGTCGCCGGTCCACGCCATCTTGGACGCAGTTGTCTTGCTATACTGCGGTCGCGACGACGACTCGGTGGACTCGATTAATGCGCTTCTTGCCGCCGCCGCGACCGTGGTGTGGTGGATCGTAGTCGAGACGGCGATCATGGGTGCCTTGTTGCGCCTCGGTGGGCAGTTCAAGTTGCACGCTACCGACATCGACGATGTTGACGACGACGAGCCTCCAGCGTCCACACCGAGAGCTGGGTACCGCGCCTACGACGGCCTCGTGTAAAAGACACACTTACTACTATTCGTGGTGTTCCTCTGGCTTTGTGTATGACGTGGATCTTGCGAGGTGACAACCAGTGTCAGCGCCGACGTGCACGATGGACGGTGTAGTTGTACAGCGCACGACTCTGCTTGAGACACAAGACCAAACTCTTCATACTAGTACAGCGTACATGGTCGTGATACATGGAACGACGAGTCTACAGTCGTGGTCAACGTCCCATGGCAATCGAGTCGCATCGTGAGCTCCGCAGACGAAGCCTTTGAAGAAATTGGCCCCGCCCACGACACGACCCGAGTTGTTTTTGTTAAGACATAGATAATTAAGTCGGCGCTGACCAAAAGCGACCAATGAATGCAAATGCTAAAATGACAATGCCACGCGGTCGCACAGAGCTCGTGTATAAGCAATCCTGTGCATTCGGCCGGGCTTTCTGCGAGTCCAAGTGGTTACTTCCGTTTCGTACCTGCTTCACAGACTTGGCTCATGTGAGCCATGCATGTGAACCGTGCGCCGTGCGCCGTTTGCTTATAACTTGTGACCCTGTCGACGCCTCAAACGTCCCTCTCCAAGATTGGCATATCTCGATCATTGTATGGATCATCGTTGGCGCCAATCGTATCTTTCGAACGACTATCTTCGAAAGTTAGCTACGACAGTCAAGATAGAGTGTACTTCGTTCTTCTATGCAAACCTCAGTGCCACACAAAGCCGCCCACAACAACCGCAACAACGACTCCACTTCATTCATCTTGCAATTTGCAACCCCGAGAGTACATCGCGTTCTCTGTTCCGTCCGTCGTCTGTGACCCACCTTCCGTCGTTTATCCACTATGAGACTCTCGCGTGTTGCTGTTGTCGGCCTTCTCTTCGTCGCTGCCCGTAATGT